CAGCTGACGTTTATTTCTCCATTTAGAACTGCCCTTACAATCGCTCCATAGTTTGGGTATGGCATCTCTACAAAATTATAACTGTGATTCACAATAAAATATTCGTACCCAGCATTTCTTAATTCCTCTTTCTTATACCCCTTTTCTAGCAGTCTGAAAATATAATGCTGCTATCCTGGATGTTTTCCTGAATACCAGTCATCAATGTTGTATCCCAACGATCGGGAACGGCGAGCAGTAAAAATTATTTGCTTTCCCGGCATAAACACCCGAATACCCACTGTTGCTTAACAACATGTCCAACGTTGTATTTTTCTTAATGTGAAATTATTTTCTTTTAATGTGAAAGTAGCTATTCAATCTATTGTCGTATTATGGCTGATTTATAACTGAAGTTAGCAAAATTCAATCAACGTTAATTGAATCCTTTTTTCCACAGCAAGAACGGACAGAACAACCTCCTTATAGGCCAACAACGCCATTTTGTTTGAGTTAAAAGTTAACTCCATAGGAGGAATTTGAGAACAAAGTCTATAACTATGAATTATTCCTTTGTCCTGAAAGAATCTTATCACAGCCTCTTCGTTATTAGGCAATTGCCAAATTGTGTAATCCATCGTACTAAAACAAATGCCGAAATATGGCAAAAAAATAACGAGTGACGATATTTCAAACGTTAAATTCTCGAGCCACGATATTTGGCGTGTTGTTGTAGTAATTGTTTTCTTCTCATTGTTTTCTTCATTTTCAACTGACGCCACTCTACGGAATAGTATCGAATATTCTATAAAGCATATAAAATTAGAAGTATAGATATTTTTTAGTGAGATTTAAATTAGTTCCCTACAAAAGCGATGACAAACAAAGTTTGTATTTTTTATTTTGTGGATCAGTGATTGGCTTTTCTTTAAAACAATTTAATTTGTTTACACTGCATGAAGAAAATACATATTCTGTCTCGAATAATTTAATACTGTGATGGATTGGCGGAAAAATAACAGACGCAATAATAAAGCAGTTTCAGTAAAGTTTCTGTATTGATTGCAGAGATCTAGAATGTTAATGCATTATTTTATATTATGATTGTTTTTCAATGGGTTTTTTGAAAAGTGAAAACAGTAGTAGTATTTTGAGACTTAGTCACTTAGAAATTGGCAATTATAAATTTGAAAAAAGTTAACAGTTTTGCTTATTTGGGAACGGAGATAAATAATAGAAATATGTTGGCCCCAGAAATATATAAAAGAATTGTTGCTGCAAATAGATGTTTTTATGCCCTGAATAGTTATTTAAAATCCAGGTTTCTTAAATTAAGAACTAAATGGCTTCTTTACAAAAGTCTTATAAGATCTGTATTGACTTATGCATCAGAGACTTGGGCGTTGACTTTACGTGATGACGAAGCCCTGGGAATTTTTGAGCGAAAGATCTTACGTTGCATTCTTGGTGGGGTTCGAGTGAATGGATCATGAAGAAGATCTAATTTAGAATATAAAATTTACGAAGAACCTGATTTTCTAAAATTCGTCAAATTACAGAGACTTAAATGGGCTGGCCATCTAACTAGAATGAATGAAGATCGTTGCTGCTAGAAAGTATTTCTGTCAAAGCCCATGGAAAATAGACCTCGGGTAGACCCCCTGCTAAGATGGCTTGATCGTGTCGAAAAAGATCTCAATATTTTTAAAGGTTAAAAACTCGAAAACAGTTCCCAAAAGTAGAGATGCCTGAAGAAAACTTCTGGAGAAGGCCAGGGCCCATCCAGGGTTGTCGAGCCATTGAAGAAGAAGAAGTATTTTAAATCCCGTGATGGTAGAAAATATGAATTTTGCTACTTTCTTCTAGATATGAAAGTGGCAAATGTTGAAAAAAATTTGGTATTCCTTCCAGTGCTCTATTTCCTTTGGTTCAACGGAAAAAACTTAGGAGATTTACCCCAAATGTAACTTAATACCAACTAGTTTCCCGTAGAGGTAGTCTCTGTCAAGTCATCTCCCTTCCATAGATCAATAGCTCTAGCGTAACTTTGTAAAATATAGCAGTCTAATCTATCTTTTCGGAACTCGATGATCAACCACTGATTGAAGCCACGGGAGACTGTTCTCTTCAGATTTTGTTTTCGGTGGTTGAACGGGTTGGTTGGACAAGCTCTCGCTAGTGTTTCTCATGTCCAACTTAAATACGAGCTAGTTTCATTTATAAGGTTCTCCAGAAGACATGTCTTTTCTTAGGCACATGGCATGCTTTGCAGAGATAAAGTTATTAAACCTCATCTCGTACACGACATTTGATGAAGAAGTGTTTGATGGCTTAATGTTTTGATTTTTCATCAGGTTAAAACAAATACTACTCCAAAAGTTTCATTAATAAGATGTATTCCTTTCCGATGCAAGAGGATCTCCTTACTTTTAATTCATCACTTCGGCTTTTTTAATCATATATAAATATTTATCAGTGTATTAATTGTTCTACTAAATTTATTCTGGCTTCAGTGAATTTATTCAGGCTTCAGTGATATTAAAAATTAGATTATGGGCGTTTAATTTCAGAATTTAATTAAAAACAAGAATTGAAATTCGTTTTAAAGTCTCCGAATTAGTAATGCAGCAGAGAGCATTTCCTCGTAACTTAACAATCCAATAATGCAGTGAAGCGTACTGCTGAAATAAAACAAGCACCAGGAGATTATAAAGACCTTATTTTTATTATAACCAATTGTTTTTAGTTTGACTTTCCTTTCCCTCCTGATTTCAGTTTCCTGACGGAGTGTAAATTTTAACGACGTAGTATGCAAAATCTAAGTGTGTTCAGAAACAGTATTTAAGCTGCGTTTCAAGAGTTCGAGAGGACTAATAGCGGAGTTAGTTCCGAGTTTATTCTGCGTATTTTGAAATAGCTTTCTAGTTGGAGTTAGCCACCCTCTTCAGATTATATTGATATTCTAGGCTCGGCTTTGCTGTGTGCAGCCGATTTAGCAGTTTAAATAACTAAGGAGCCAATCCTTTAGTCATTCTAATTTATTTGTGATTTTACATTTTTATTTTCTGTTCAATTTTATTTAGCCACAAGTGGTGAAATGTAAGCACCCAGTGAGTGCATCTTGTTAAATTTAGTTCAATTAAAAAGTTATTTAAAACCTTCTTCTGCAGTATTTTTTCTTCAAGATTTAGCGAGAATACGCTACGCAGTCTTCTACATAGGGTCTACTGTGACTGCTCCCAAAGAGACATACACTATACAAGATATAATTGTACTACGTGGATCTCTAGTAAAATCATTTTTTTCACGAGTGAAATTAACATATATTCCAAGTAAAAAAAATTAAAACTTTATATTAATAAATGTCAATTAAATTGAACCATTATCTAACACGAATCTCTACGTCCATCATTTAGGTAAGCTAGGAGTTTCAGTAGAATCTACATCACGCTTTTGGGTGACTATTTTACTTATCTGATTAGGAAATATTTTACTAAAGTTATTAATTATCAGTCTAATTATTATAAGTTTATTGATCTAAATAATGAAACGAAATGGAATATTTTGGGCAAAAGAATGGCATTCTGCGAATCATGTCTAAATGGACACCTATTAAGAATTGTCTTTCCGCTTGAATGGTAATTTATGACTGTTTAGTATGCAACATTTAGCAGGTTACTTTTCTATCTGCTATGCTTAAAGATAATAGTACTCGTAATATGTAGCTTAAAATAGATGCAAATAGTTATGGCAGATTAAAGATTTATTTCTGTCCTCTGCATAAATTTCAAAATTTGTTGCTTAGTAATTAGTTCCTTAAAGAATCCGCTTGATCACATGGATGTGCACATGCTTTTTTTCTTCTGAACTTTTCCTGCAGTCGCTGTTTTCCTGTCTAATTGCTCATTTTTCCTCATCTTTTTGTGCAAAAACATATATTTAAAAGTTGTTCTGTGCTTTCTCCGTCTTTAAATAATTCATCACTGAAATTTGGCCCCTTAGCCATTTGAAGTTTTATTATCTTAATTATAATTTTTAGTGCGGCTACTTTTACTGCATGTGACATTTTTGTATACATAATTAGCCCAGAAGGGCTATTAATTTCGTTTTGGCATTTTGCGTTAAAAACTTTAAATGTGCATTTCACTTTTCAAATTATTGCCACCCAATATTATCGCACTGTGTTGTATTAACGCAATTAAATAATGAAGAACCTGCATGAATGTATATACGTTTCTCGCATTGTGATAAAACAGAATGAGAATTGGATTGTAATTGGATGGTACCCAGAGCCATCCAATTTTGAAAAACGTAATCCTCCTGCGAATATTGGCATCTGGAAGCCTAAATTTGAAATTTGGTTTTATTATCGATTTCATATTTTATAACAATTTAACGAATTTTTGATTAACAAACTCGACGATTTCAAAGGGAGCAATGGCTACACAGTACGGGAAAAAAATTTTTTTTTTCTACCTCCAGCGTGCTAGACTGTGTATTGAAAATTCTGAAGATATGCTCGTTTTAAAATTATTTTACGATATTGCTGTTGAATTGAATTTTACTGTTTAAGTGCAAAGAACATGATATTTAATAAATAAAGGTAACACAGAAAACGTTAAAAAAAACACCGCTTTGGGCGTAATGTAAAATCTGAAAGCTTTCACACTTTTTTTTTTGTTTCTTTAAAAATGTGAGAAAGCAGTATTTTGCTCACTGTTGATACACTGAAGAAAATGGTGCCTTTCTCATCTTATACATGAATAAGAATGTTCTTTTTACATATGAAATTATATAGAAAGAACATATTCTTTCGTAATATATTATATTACGGAACTGAGTGGCTTTTATTCAGAAACGGTGATATGGTACTTCCAAAATTAATTTGGCTTTTGGTATATTGTTTGCTTTATAAAACGTTAAGGATCTATACAGCTTGGAATCATACTGAAGAAGATAAAAAAGTTATAACGTTTGTAAATTTAATGAATTTTTATTTTAGATGGATGACTCTCGTAAAAATTCTGCTATGTGGAATAAAAACGAATTGGAAGAAACAATAACGCCTGAGGTTATCTCCAGTTATATTCCAGACTTTTCGGATATGAGTGATGAAAATTCTGAATTTTGGGATTTCTTAAAGACAAAAGAGAACATCAAGGGTAATCCACGAGAAAAAAACAGTTCTTTTGAAAAAACTCACAAATTAAGTGATTTTCTTATTTATCCTAGTAAAACGCAATCAGAGGTAATTCTTCAGGAAAGCACAAACGATTTATATTTAAATGATTCAGGTATTTCTCTGAACGACGAAAGAAAAAAATTATCTACTATTTCTGAAAATGAATTCTGCCTTGAAGCATGTGGGAAATCCGAAAGTTTCGAAGTTAGTAATGATAAAACAAAGTTGAAAAGGTTTGAGGAAACTGATGATGAATTTTGGGAATTCCTGGGATCTTCTACTAAAACTTGTACAGAATATGAACTTCCACATACTAGAAAGAAGAAAAGTAACATATCGAAAAACAGCCAGGATTATGAGGATCAATTTTGGGATTTTTTAAAAATTGGTTCACCTGAAACTGAAGATGTAATTTCATTTAAAGAATTCTTAGCAAGGAATAATACGCATAGTAAAAATGTAATTGATATTAATGTTTCTCCTTCTCAGAGCTCAGTCGAAAATGATTTAAATTTAAAAATTCAATCATCTTATTCCGATAGCGGCAGGGCCAATAGCTTGAGTGATTTAACTATGTTGAGCATAGATACAGGAAGCATATCATCGGAAAGTATGAAAATTCCTGACTCGAACAAGGAAAGTCTCTACGATTCAGGTATTAAACTAAGAGAGTTATCTGAACATCATTTTAACAAAAATTCTACAGAGGAAGAAATTTTCAGTGTGCAAGCAAAAGCAGTGGCGAGTGTGGAGAATAACACTTCATTGACATCAAAGGCAATTATTTCATATCCTGAAATGCATGATGTGTGGAGAGAAGAAAGAGGAAAAAAACACAGTTTAGAGCAGGACTTGCGTAATATTTTACCAGCTACTAAAATTTCACGAGATGTTGCATCTGAAGTTCAAACAATAAAGACCACTTCGAGCTTTGACAGATCAGATTTCGTGGAAAAGATGAAGTTGTCGAACACCAGTTCTACAAACAGTTGTAATGTCTTACATACAACTAGCCAGGTCTTGAACACAAAGGAATATCAGTGCTCTAATTCAGTTTTTACTGTTCCTTCAAATAACTTAAACGTCAAAGGTGATGAACGTATTTTGACAGGAATTTCAGCATTATTGCAGTCACCATATACTGAATTATTATCAAAAGAAAGTAACGAAAACACTAAAACAAGAGATGATAATTTGCCCTGCATTTCTTCAGTGATTTCAATACCTTCTTTTCTTGACTGGGCAGAAAGCTTTAATCAAAACTGTGAGGTCCCCAAACTTGGACATTTAACAAAACTCGAGTCTCAAAAAAATTTATGTCTGAGAGATGCGGATAAAATACAAGTATCACCGAAACATTCCACGTATATCTCCAAGGAATGCAAAAAACGACGTTTATCTTCCAGTCCTATCGGATGTTCACAGTTCAAAATTTCCGACAGTTCTGGCATTGAATTCGAAAAAACTTACGTTGAAATTCAAACATCTGGCGAAAAGAAACAAAAATTAAATTTAGGCCAAATAACAGCTTTAGACTCTGATAGCAAGACACTGCCGGAGCAAACACTTCCATGTATTTCAAAATGCTATTTATCTAATTCAATGCAGTCAACTAAAGGAAATATACTTCCTGAACCAAAGAGTGCTAATTCCGTAATAACGTCAAACCAAAACAATTCTTTACCACTTTACCTAATTCTACCTCAAACCGTTAATGGTCAAAGCTCAAATGTTACTCATTTATTTATGATTCTTCAAAATAATGATAGCAATACAGGAAATGCAATAAATGTATCTAATCAAATATCTCAAACTACAGATGTTCTGAAGAGCGCTGAAACTAGAGATCAGATTTTTGTACAAAATATTCAGCAACTTACTGATCATCGTCATACGCAGTTAAATGCGCATTCAGTTTCTAACGGTCAGCTTACATCTTCATCTAAATCTTTACCTCATACGATGATCTACACGACAGCCCAACAGCAAGTAAAATTTGAAGCTATTAATTCTGATCGCATTAGCACCGTTTCAAACAGCTCCTTTCATGAACCTTATAAAGCAGAGGGAGTTCTTACAAACTTAAAGCTGAATTCGAATACTACATTTAAAATGAATGTTTCAAATAAAAGTGAAGCTCAGATGAGGCCGTTATTGCCTATAAATATCACAGCTCTTAATTCTCAGTCTCATATTACGAAACAAAATTCAGCACGTCAAAATACGTCACAAAGAAAATTGGCACATGCTCCGATGTTAGTACCTAATTCTAGGAATTTAGATCAGTCAAAGTTTCATGCCATACTGAAATCATCAACTGACAATGAGTACCTTTCGACAAATAAACTTAGCAGTCCTAAAGCTATCAAGACTATAACGATTGGTAAAGATAGTTATGCTATTCAACAGACCAGCATTCCTCTGAAAATGGGAAGCATTGATCATCAACTACAAACGGCTGTTCCCATAAGTATAGCCAACTACTTACAGCTTAGCAATTTGGACGAGTCCAGCATGAGAACGGGAAAAACATTTTCGGAAAAAGAAAATAACAAGCACGATGATATAAGGAAACAATTGATAAATGAAACGGAGATAGATTATGGCAAAACATCTCAATCGTTAATAAATTCGGAACATGATTCGAAGCATACGAATTCACTAAAATGTGAGGTATATACTTCGGCAATTCCAAATAATATTTCTCGGACAGGACAAGAAATGAACGGAAAAGAAGCGACAGAATTTCTAACGGTCAAATCAATTGGAAATGGCTTTCATCTAAGGAGTGATACCAATTTGTTTGTTAGTGCATCTCAATCGGACTGTAATTCAAGACAAAATGAAAATAAACAGCAGAAAAATACACATTACATAATGCCAAAAATCGTACCAATACACTTTCAAGTAACACGAGCAGATCCTGAAGTTTCAACAATGAAAGCGACACTTACGCAAACAAATGCTGTTATGACTGTTCCAGAAAAATTTAGTACAATCGCAGCTGTTCCGGCTTTAAAGACATTGGGTGAATTAGTTCCCACATCTGCATCTGTGATCTCTGTAAATGCCGTGCAGCCACCACAGACGGGAAACAGACCAATTATTTCTAAAGTCTTAGTTTTACCTCGAACAAGCAAGCAGAAACAAATAAACAATTCAAAACAGCATGGGCAACGTGTAACATACAGTAAAAAGGCTGTCCCTAAAAAGGTCGGACGCAAAACAGTTCGTGAACTATTAGAGGAGCGTAATTTGATATCGTCCAATAAAATGGATTTTAAAGATGAAATGCTGAGCAACAAAATTGGAGTTAAAATATTGAAACCTATCCTCAAATTAACGCCATCGAACGGCTTAACCACTGTTCAGCCACAAATAGTCAGTGGATATGTAGGAACTGCCTTAAATCCAACAAAAATTAACGAAGGAAATGATATTTCTTCAAACAGCATTCAGTCTTCAAATACACAGGGAAAACCAAATATTTTAATACTGCCGTCTGCTCCTAAGTCAACCCAAAACAGTTCTGTAGCTATAAATGAGATACAGATAGTGGGAAATAAAGATCTAAAAACATCAGAAAGAAATATTTCAAATATATTTCCCTCAGGTAAGTCCAGAATTCTGTTGTTTAACTATTTTCTTAAAATACGAATATTTCTCAAAAATCAGTCTTTAAAATTGCTTTCAGATTATTATTTTACTCCACAAAATATTTTGTAATAGAAGTCATAACTGATTCACGTTCTTAAAATGTGCAAAAGCTTTATTTACAATATCAGATGAAGTTATTTTTTTTAACCAATGGCGTGCCCTAAGCCGACTTCTGGCCTTAGTACTGGCTAAGCCGACTTCGGCTTAGCCAGTACTAAGGCCAGAAGAGATGGTCACTTTATTATGGAGGCACCTAAACAGGTAGGCCACTTTTGCCTCCTATGAAGGGACACGCAGTTACAACCATGCCTTCTCCGGGATTCGAACCCGGGCCCTTTATATCAGATGAAGTAGTAATGTTAAATTATGAAATGCAAATGTTGTTTTCTAAATTGTTGCAATTAGAATATCAATTCAAATAAAATTCCACATAATTAAGGTCAATGAATACTGGTAGTTTAACCTGGATTTAGAAACCTGTCGAATGGATTAGCTACATCTGTCTTTTGTGATTTCTCTATGTGAAAGGTAAATATGAGTCGGTTTTCCTTAGAAAGTTCACCATGAAGTCACCCACTCTCTGAGACAGATAACTCTGGTGTATTTTGTCTGAGAAAAATACCTAACCTAACTTCAAATAAAATTTGATTAGAAATTTAAATTTGAGGTTTTCTTAATAAGGAAAAATGTATCTTCAGAAGAAAATTTGATAAGGTATAGATTTTTTGAGGCAGCTTATTTACCAAACCTACGCGTCAGTATGCAAGCTAAAGCTCGACAGTGGCACAGTTTACGAAGGTGTGGTGTATTTAATTATGGGAAAGCACACTAGGGCTATCTGCCTAAGGGGAGGGATGCCTTCGTGGAGGACTTTCTAAGGGAAACTGGCTCGTATACACGTTACACATGGGGAAAACCACGAAAGCACCCATGCAACCAGCCCGTTCGCGTTATTCGAACTTCGGACTGAACTACCAGTGTTCAGCGACTTTACCGCTCGGCCGCTGGTGGGCAGTTTACGAAGGAGAAAGCGCTTTCCGTGAGCGTGTTTCAGGAATTTTTGTAATCCGTCTCATAAACATGAGTCTGTTCTAAAAAGCCATCAACGAAACCCATCCTTCAAGTCTAGTAACCATAGCATGATTTTTATAATTTTATTACAAGTTTTTAATAGTTTTATTACATTAATTTTATTACATTTAATACACTTACAACACCTTACAAAAAGAAATTTGGAAAATTAAGCCCAGAATTTGAAGCCTTTTTTGTTAATGTCGGTCGTTTATTGTCGAATGTACTTTTTATTTAAAAACTCTGCTTTCCAAAATATTCGGTTAGTAATTTTGATAGGTATAACTAAGGGCATGAGAAATGTGTTAAAAATAAATTGTGTGGCTATCTGAAATTTCCCTCCTCGCACGTGAATATTATAACCAAGTGGATGAAACTTGAAGTATTAATGGCCTACTTTCAAATTCTGTATGAATCACGGAATTATATGATCTTTTGGGGTTATGTCAATTTTCAATCGTGCATAATTTCAAACTAATTGATTTTCGACATTCCTGGTTTCTTAGAAGAGAATAAATTCTAATACATGTTTGTTTCAGTAGGGTACTTCTTCAGCTCTTTTTAAACAGGCTAATTTAATAATAAAACAAAGAAAACAATGGTGTAATTGACATTAATTTTAATCGAAAAGCCTAGATGTGTTTCCATATCTAAAAAATAGGTACAGGAAACAGGTGGAGCAGAGAATAAAAACAGATATGTAAGAAAATTCAGATTAACACAAGGAATAAATAATAGTGGACATCGGAATGGCAACTAATTTGGCAGCATAACACACACTACTACACACAGCTCTTAATAAATTTATCCATATAAAAGCAATGAACGCTTATATACAATTATGTTCATAAATTAAGGATAATGCAAAATCAGGCAAAGGAAGAGTTAGAAGCAAAACAAATTTGACTTATTTGTAAAGCTTATTTATTAAACAAAAGGTAAAAGAGCAACAAAAGATGCTATATGTTTGATATTATTAAACAAATTAGCGATTTTTTCTCCCTGGAGCAAATTAAAAAAAATAAAAAACCTATTTACAAAAAACCAATATTACATGGTTGGTATGATTGTTAATACATTGTATGTCTCCCAGACGATGCAATACAATCCGTACAACGCCTTGGCATGCTGAGTATCAAATTATCGATCTGATCTTGGGGGATATTACACCACTCAAAAAGCAATGCTCTCCGAAGTTCCGGTAGACATGTAGGAGGAGGTTGACGGGATGCAACTCGTCGGCCAAGCATGTCCCCACACGTGCTCTACTGGATTCAAGTCCGGTGAGAATGCTGGCCAGTCCATATGGGTGATATCCTCCGATTGAATACATTCACTTACGATGTTTGCACGGTGAGGACGGGCGTTGTCATCCATAAACACAAATTGTGCGCCGATGGCGCCCCGAAACAAACGTACATGTTGTTCCAGAATGACGTCCCGATAGATTTGGCTTATCATGGTTCCAATTTGAACATGCAGATCAGTTCTGGAACCCAGCATAATTCCACCCCAAACGAGCACTCCTGCACCACCGTAACGGTGTCGTTCAATGATATTTTCTTGGTGGTAACGAGTACCTGGAGCTCTCCATATGAAAGTCCGGCGAGAATCAGACTGCAATCTGAACCTGGACTCGTAGAAACCTGGCCTCGTAGAACCTGGACTCGTAGAAAACATCACACAAGTCCACTGTTGAGGTGTCCATAATGCATGCTCTCTACTCCAGGCGCAGGCGACCTCCCTACTAACCTCCCTACTAATCTCCCTACTAACCGCAGTAACAGTGAGTGACAGTAAGTGGAACTGTAACAGTGAGTTACAGTAAGTGGAACACATCTGACAGGTCTACGAGCATATAGACCAATCTGCCCTAGGCTTCTGTACACGGTCTGCCTTAAAATTGTCGTACCAATGGCTGAAGAGAACTGACGAACAGGTCTGAGGCTGTGCTCCGCCTGTTTTTTGGCAGTACCTGCCAAATACCAGTCCTCATTCGGCGTGTAACTCTGGGCGACCTGTGCTGTAACGACTACTCCCTTGCCATCATCTTGGAATCGTTGCCAAGCCGGAGATGACACTCTGGGCAATTCCAAGTCGTCTGATACTTCCAGTTGGGTACGCCCACATTCTAGACGGCCGATAATTCTACCACGTAAAAATTATCCAAATGCGTCCTTTGGTCATAACTATTCGGTTTTTGCACTGAAATGCTATAAAGCGCCTGCGAACAATTTACTTCTTGCCTGTATCATTATATCACTCTTTTACACTCTTGTCATTGTGACGTACCATCGGTGTCATCTGGTTACTTACTGAAATTTGCATATGATTCTCGAAGATGTGTGTAGTGATTTTACAGGTGATATATTTACTCGTATTTTAGAGTTCGATTTCCGCGTGACTCCGAATTATCCTTGATTTATGGACATGAGTGTAATAATTTCAATATTTATTTGATTTTTAACTCTGTATTTAATTGATAAAAATTACATAAATAAAATAAATTTAATTTATAATGTATCATCCATCTGATAGTTCCTATGTATTATTAATAAGAGAATTTTCTCACTCTGTATATTACGTAACTTATAGAGAATCATCGCTTTATTTTCTTTTTTAATTTTTATGATTTTTATCTTTTTTAAACTATTTTCCTTTTTACTTCTTTGCAAAGGAAGAATTGTAACCACGAAAAATTCCGGGTATCATATTTCAACGAAAGTATTCATTTCGACCGCTATCGAATGCAATTAAACGATGGTTTTGCGTGGCATCTGTACGTAAGGACACAATGAAGGACTCTTTTTCCCGAAACGGGTTATAAAATGGATTTAAAATGGATTCAGAAGAGATATTTTGAGACGTCTATACGTACGTACGTCTCGTATAACTCAAAAACGAGTAGACTCAGAACGTTGAAATTTTGTGTAGAGGATTGCTATAACATGCAGTCGTGCACCTACATTTTGGTTGCAATCGATCACACCAAAAGTAAGTATCAGTGAGCTCAGTTTTTTTTATTCTTATATGTTGGTAAATTGTGAATGTTTTGCTTTAAAAATAGTTCAATTATGTTATTCTTATCTTCCGGTTAATGTTTTTGAACCTTTAGTTAATCTGCATACAGTATTTGTAGGATTATCAACAATTTAAAAGATGTTTTAGTGAGGCTAAGCCTATATATATGTATATTTTGTACCACAGCAGCCATATTAGTTTACATTTGAAACTTGGCAGAATAGTGAATTAAGTCAGTTTCTGCACCTTCAGTGTCTTTTTGCAGAGTGGGACTAAATGATAAACTTTGAATTTTGTGCACCGAAAAATCTGCCTTCTTGCTTCCCGGCCGAATTGCTTGTTTTTGGGTCGAAACTCTAACTTTAATTATAAAAAAATTAAATTATTTTAACTGTATTTGCTTTTATTCTAGATTTTTCAATTTTTCGTTAAGATATTTTGAGGTTTTATGTATTTTTGCCTTGTCGCGAAGTGAGAACTGAATTAATTGAATGAGAAATATGTCTCTAATGAAATTTCGAGGAAATAAGTTTAAATGAAATGCAGTAAAAAATGCGTTTAGTTTAATATTGCCTACAAGGAAGTCATGTGGTGTACGCATCAGACTTTTTTTATGTTGAACATTTCTTTGAGGCCTTAGACTATAAGCTTCAGTGTGTTGTTCAGTGTTTGAAACCAGTGTTGAAAGTGAAACCAGTCCTTCAGTGTATGAAATTAGGGTTGACGTAAGGAAATTCGAACCAAGATTACATAAAAAAGGAAAAACTTTTCTTGAAATAGCTAAAATAGAAGAGTATTAAATAGACATAGAAATAGCTAAAATAGTAGTTACAAGTGTGTCCAGAAAATCATTGGAAAAATTTA